GCTGCGGTGTGGGTTGCAGGAAGTGGAAGCAGCAAACCACAACACACTAGATTTGTTTGGGACCAGCCCTGTACTTTTGTGTGCAGGATCACTGCCGAGTTTGTTTCGAGGGAGAACCTTCTGTCTTTGTCAACCATAACTGATTTGGCACCACCAACACCTTGCCATCATACTGAAGAGATATATGTGTTCAAGAATATAGTGTTGCCCTTGAAGAATGATAAAAAAAGGCCCTTGACAAAAGGTTGCCCACCCCAACTGTAGCCAATTCTCCTTCCTCTCACTCCGGCTTGGAGTGTGGCACATTGATTAGCCAGTAAAGATGGATTTGTATTTCAGTGACTGCATTTCGTCTCACTGTGGTAGAAAGAGACAAAATATAAAGATGTGAGCTCATATAAATAACCATTAGAAAAAGCTTTCTGATGAATGTTAATGATTTTAGTAAATCATTAATGGGTTTGTCACTGTGAGAAATCCCTTTGACATTACATGTTGTGATTTGATCCATTTACATCTCTGCTCAATCAGCTTAATCTGCTCAATCAGCTCAATCTATAAGTGGCTAAAGTTGCACTGCAGCCTCTAAAAATGTTTTTTTCCGCTCCTGTCACACTCACATCTCCACATTAAAGCTCCGTCCTTTGGAAAAAACCTCAGATGCTTTCTGCTGACTCCCTGTTGGCTGTGTGATACATTATGGATTGGGGTAAGGGAAGAAATGGCACATCCTAGGGAGAGAGCTAGATGATAGCTCCCTCTGGTAACATCTTCTTTTTTGTGTTTTTCTTCTAAGCAGAAACAACATTCTTCTGTCAAACCAGAAAACCCCCCAAAATCGAAACAACCGTTATTTCCCTGTACTCCCTGATATAACCCACAAGGGAATTTCCTCAATATGTAACTAACCCATTATATGACAATGCTATAGTGGTGAAGAATCCATTGTTGTATGTCACGTCTTCTTCTGCTTTGCCACTGAAGGGCTTTGCGTCTCGTTCAGAGCAAGATGAGCGCCCACATGCAGAAATGCACAAAGATAAAACTAAGTCATAAACTCGACTTGGTTATGGTAGTAAGAAAGGTAGTGGTTTCTAAAAAGTCTAAAAGCATGGTAAAAAAAAACGTGAGGAATAATTTCTGGGATGAACAGTGGAGGTCGTGAGTGCTGAGCAAACGATGAGGAAACACATGGAACAAATACAGGAAGTGGAGAAAGAGAGAGACAAACAAGGAAGGAAGGTGTAACATAAAACAGGAAATGAAGAACTCAAATTAAAGAAGTCTTTAAAAGGTTCAACATTGGGGCGGAATCATGACGTGATCATTTTGAAAGTGTTTCTAATATTTCTAATCCTTCATACCTAAGATGTATTCAAAGAAGCTACTAGAAATATGTTCCAATGCCTTTAACTCTGTCTGTTCACTAATTGAAACATTCCTTTGTTCTGCTCACCTCCCAGCAGTCTCCCTTATTATTCCCTCATAATATCAACTCTAGGGAGGGGGTTTCTAGCGATGGGCCAATCCCACAGCTTTTGGGAGCACAGCCCCGTGCTGTAATTGGCCCAGGGGGCCTGGTGCTGGTTGTAATGAGACTTGACAACGAGCACCGTTGGAGAAACATGTTTACATTTACATTTCTCCCAGTGGCCTCTCTTCCCCTCTGCTTCCCTCCTGTGCATTTTCAGGTTGCTGGAGAATTCAGGCCCGTTTGTGCATATGAAGGAGGGGGTTGTCTGCAGAGAGAATTGAATATAGATGAAAATATATGGAAAATGAAAAGATCGATAAGTCATTAAGAAGAAGCTATTTAATTTATTTCATTTGTATAATTATGTATTTTATTATATAGATGGATTAGAGCAATGATCCTGGATCAATAACGTTGGACAATGAAGGAAATGTCAAAGTACAAACATATGTGCAGAACCTACCTCCCTGACATGTACTTGATATGTTATTTGTGTTTAAAGTGGGCAACAGTTGGTGGAGGTGTTGAATTCTTTTTTTAATCATGTTTTCGTGCAACAATTTTCTTGACTAAAGTGTAATTTTCTGAAAACTGATTGAATGAGAAGCCACAAGCCCCCTTATTTCAAGAAACTGACCCTTGTTTAACACTGTGGTTGCAGAGTACCAGCTTGTTTCAAAGATGACCCGCTGTACGGATGAATAATCACAGCTCAGTTGCTATTGTCTACACTCTTGAAAGCACAAGTCCTCTTTGGCAGCTCACCGCAGATCTTGCACTGAGGGATACATTTACATAAGCTGAGAACACTGAAGTGGCACAGCAGAAACACTGTTTTAATATCTCCTCTCCCATCTTCTATAAATATCACTTGTATTCAAGAGGGATGGACGACAAGGGAGGGAAACCTTTCAGTGATATGTGCGTATACGAGTGTGTACTTGCACGCATGCAGCAGTGCACTTCTTATTCTGATATCTAAACCTGATCAAACAGCCAAAAATATCTAAGCAGCTGAGACACAATGCTAAATGGTGCTGACTAGGGGAATCCATTCAGACTGCAAGTCTACAGACGTCATCAGATCTGTTGACCAGATGTCCAACCTTCCTACGTGACATTACTCAGGTTGTTCAGAACATGTTCCCTCTGAGGCTTTGACTACAATAAAACAAGGGTTAGAAGCTAATTTACATTTTTTTTAAATCACAAACACATAATTTCATGAAATGCAACATAATTGTGATTGTATTTTGTGAAATATATACGAAATCCGTTTGCCATTTGTGAAATACATAAAATGACTCCCAACCTTTGTAACATGATTTGTTTTTGCATTTTACGACAGCTCGTTGTTTTGTTTCATACCACTTTTGTTTTCTGAGATGTTGTTGTGTTAATTAGGAAATTTACTTTTTGAAAGACAGACGAAATATACTTTCTCAAAACATTACAAACATTCTGAGTAACGGGATTATGTTGTTGTTTTTTTACAATTTGTTTTGTCACATGTTGTTGTTCTTATGAATTGTTTGTCTTTTTGAGAAATTTGAAAATGTTGTTGTGTTTCCTCACATGTTGCCTTTTGTGAAATGTTGTGTTTGTTTTCCTAAATACTGTTTTGGCCCTCAGGGACGTCTGCCACTGTTATGACATTTCAGTTTGTGACCTAAAGTCAAATGTACAACATCTGTATAAACACATATAAACTTCCATCCCTCTCAACTTGTGATACAAATCATCTCCAGTGTATTTACATGCCACTGTCTCTGTATATGTAGAGATATGTGTTGTGAGTAAGAGTTGGTGAAGAAGAAAGACAGTTTCACTTCCAGGCCCTAATGTGTTCCATTGGTAAACGTCAGTGTGGGCGGGGTCTATACGGCCTGAATGAAGTGTTTTTAGATGGATCCAAAGACGAGTTCCCTGCTCAGAGAATCAGAGGTACCATCAACAAAACCAGACATGGCCAGACAGCCACTCAGTGAGTCCTTCATTACAGACTTAGAGGAGGTGATCTGTTTGTCCAAAATAGTATTTACACCCCCACCCCCCTATATCCAGGTTTATTTGTAGATTCCTGGGCTCTGGGAACATGGTTTGCTATTATAAGCTTTAATAGTGCAGACACAGTGTGCATGTGTACGGAAGAGGATTTAGGGCCACTGTGGAAAAAAAAGTGAGTTCTGACTTTAAACTTAGAATTCTGACTTTTTTCAAAGAAATGGCTGCAGATATGATCTATGTTACAAGTTTGTTAACTCACTGAGGTCCGTGCGTAGAAAATCTGAATTCTGAGATTAAAATCCGAATTCTGAGAATAAAGTCAAAATTCTGAGATTAAAATCAGAATACTGAGAAAAAAGTCAGAACTCACTTTTTTTTCCCCCCACAGTGGCCCTAATCCTCCTCCATGTACGTGTGTGTGGGAGAGTTTGTCTCAACATTTGCTTCTTTCTATGGGTGGGTTGCTCGAGTGGCAAAAATAGAAATAAGACGTCAACTCGGCAAAAAAAAGTGAAGCTCTGAGTCGGCTACACTCCTCGTCTAGCGTCTGCAAAAGGTGAGAGATAACTCAACAGAAAATGACAGATGGTTGATTGTGGATGCTCCTAAAGGGACGGAGAGGATTAAGTAAGAAAGGTGATAGAAGAAGGAAGTTATCACCTACATTTTTAATAATCCCCCTCAGAGAGAATATGAATGTCTCACCTTCACTGCAATCCATCAAAACGTCAGGAAACTTCAATAAAGACCAGAAATGTCAGAGGAAGAGTAATTACGAGTCATCCTCTGGGTACAATGTATGAATATCTAACATTTTGTGCCAATCCACCTTCTAGAAGCTGAAGTATTACCAAAGTATTTTCATTCATCCTCTGGGAAGTCCAAAAATGTCACATCAGTTTATTAAATTTGGCAGAGGTGCTGCTAGAGCGGCTAAATGTAGTAGAATTCCCTAAAGGCAGAGCCGTTCCTGTACAAGTAACACACACGAACACGCACACACATGTTCGCACACATAAGTACACTCTCATCCATTTACTCTTCAACCTCAGTAATTAAATCTCCATCATCGTTAACACACTCCATCGTCTTAGGTATCTCTCCACACCAGACATGACAAATCAGGGCCTTGATTATAAATACAGCAAACGTGAGGATGGACTGGGAGACAGTTGTGCATCTTATGCTGACATGTTTTTAAAAATTCATGGCCCATAAAACAGGCCATGCAGACGGGGCTGCGGCGAGCAGATGGTTTTACTGAAGCCATTCCCTGGGACCAGAAACATTCATAACCACACAACAGACTGTACAGGCAGCAACATTCTCGCTAACCCACGCAAATGGAAAGCACAGAAGTGCTATAAGAAGCAAATCACAACACTGCAAAGAAATTCATGCGCTGATACGTAAGAATGTCAAACATCGTGGGGCCATAAATCTAAATATATCAAACCATGAGTGCATAAAACCCTCCCACACAAAAACATCTTTAAGAAAACCAAGTGTTGACGTTACATTTTCCTTCTTTTATTTATTGTACATAGATATGATTGTTTTCATTCGGTTTTTGTCTTGTTCGTCCTTCACAATTTAACTCAGGTGGCACATAACAATTGGTTTAGTCCATTTTGAACTGCAGTTCAGATTTAATGTTAACATGCTCAGGCAGCCTCGTTCACACCACAGGAATTCAAAGAGCCGAGGAGTCGACAAACTGAGATACCTTCAAACCTTTTCTTCCATCTTTTTGTAACAATTGCAATTAAGCAAAAAAAAAGAAGCACATTTTGTTTAATGAGCCAAACTTCCCATAACATCACTCATTGTGTAGAAAAGTTGATTAAAGGTATAACTGGTATTGATAAAAAATGGGTCAAACTGTTTTAACCTAATTTGTTGCGTAACAACAACTCAGCCTGTACAGATCAATAAGCAGGGATGTGTTTTAACATGAAATATGCCTAATATTGAATTATTTGGGGGGTTCTCTAGGCCGCCCTCTGTATAGTACTGTAAATATATTTATTAATAGAGACATTTTTCTTTCCATTACATATTTACCACCAAGTGATAATATTTTAACTGCAGTTTGTTTGTCTATGGTGTTTTGGATGAAACCTGGTGTAAGGGTGCAGTAGGAAGAACCCAGTAACTTTTGAAGTGGATTCAATCAACGTTTTTCCATTTTATTTAACATTGAAAATGGGCCATTTTTCTACGAGAGATCTTGATAAAAATCCAGTGAACTGTTGATCCTTGGCACAAATATGAGCTCTACTGAGTCTAGTTGGAAAAAAGCTGCATGAAATTCACACGGACAGGCTGTGGCATTCAGTAGTTTCTTCAGGCTAAAATCAAACACCAAAGTCTATTTGATTTCCCTATTTGACCCACTTCAAATTCAGTTTGCAACGTCTTTATGTGGGTGAATCCAGACTCAGCTGTGTTAAACCTGCACTGAGGCGTAAGCATGAACAACAGGAACTTAAGAGTAGAACACTTTAATCATCATGAGGTGAGATATGGCTGCAGAACGTAACGTTTGATATGAAACAGCAGCAGGTCTCACATTGTAATCATGTAGGAATGGAGGGTCTCAAAGACAGTGCGGCTGATCATATGCTACAGCAGATCAAACATGTGACACCTCCATGACCAGACTAACTAACTAGTCACCCTGCGGCCTCACGCTCTACGGTGCTTTACATGAAACCTGTGACTGGAACGTAACAAATTGTGGATGTTATGTTGCCCCTGGTTGCTGATGTTCTTCTTCCACAGCTGGATCAGCAACAGAAACTGTTAAAAATGTCAATTAAAACGCTCGAGCTGCACTTGATATGTGAATTTAAGTTGTGCAGGTCACAGCAGGAAGAGCACAGGAGCCTCATATGTCGTCTGTTTAGACTTGTGAAGTAGTGTTCAAACATGTCAACTGTTAAAGAATGAACTAAGCTTTAAAACTAATCTAAAAGACTTTTCATCACAGATTCATCCCCCTTCAGATAAGAAATCCCAGCTTCACTGTGGCTCTTCTGTCCGTCACGTGGGATGGAATGAGGGCGAGAATCCGAACATAATGAAAATAGATCTGTGTACCAAAAAGCACATACACATTTAAAAATCATCATGCTTACTTAAAATTTCACACTATGTCACAACTCGTTCATTCACAATACTGGGCAGGAGAGGAAAAACAAATAAAAGGTGCAAAACAATTTTACATCACAGTACAAAAAAAAAAGTTTGACATGTGCAATTGGACTGGAAGTTATTTGATTTTGTTTCACTTCATTAACTTGGTCCAGCAGTTTTAAGTTCACTTATGGGGCTACATCCATACCACTATGTTTTATTTTGAAACTAAACAACAATATCTGTCAACAGGAGCATTTTGGCTCTGTGTCAGTTTTAATCCTCGCCCCTACTAACAGGCCTGAAACGTGTATCGTGTGACGGCTCACATGCTCTGGGTATACATATGCCAGTGTCTCAAAGGCTAAAGACTAAAGCTAATCTACCAGAAGGGGGCTCCTGTGGCAGGAGCGAACGATACGTCATGACTGAAAAGAACCAATCAGCATCATCTACATCATTGTTTCCAGACGTCTCCGTGTCTGCCCGTCCAGACTTAAAGTCATCCCTGGAGCTTTCAAACTAAAATGGGGCCAGCAGCGTTTCCGTAGCACAGTTGATGCACTTTCCAACGAGAAAAGTAGTCGTGTGGATGTAGCCCAAGTTAATTCAACTTTAAAGTCAGGGACACATTTAAGAGCAGGATCGACGTTGGAAATGTCCTCAGATCAATGGACCTCATTGGCTTTAACAGGCAGGAAGGCGGATAAACGTATATAAAACACGTACTTATCAACATGTTTTTGCACCTTGAGTCGGAGGAGGGTTGCACTCCATGCACTTTCCATGCAGAGTCGTCTTTTGTTGCGGTTACTGACAATATGGCACGGTCACATTTTTATCACTTTTAAATAAGAAAACAAAATTTTGAAAATCATAGTTTTTCATCTGCAAGGCCTGCGAGTACAAAAAAAAAAACATCTGTCATGGCGGCCTGTACATAAGTTATTTTTCCCTTGAGACCAAAATAAAATTACAATTATGGAGCACGGGGACAGAGGCGAAATTCAAACAACAGCAACAGCTTAAATAAACCACTGTTTAACGTATAAGGTGTCCGGCATAAATCTGCCATTAAAATGCCTCATTGTGACGTCCAGTCCCCGAGTACCGTCTCCGTCACTACCTCTCTTTATATGAGCGTCTCGCTGTTTCAAGAGCACAAGGACAGGGTGAGGAAGTGAATCAAAGAGAGCACTGTTCCCCTGGCTCGCCACTTGGCAAGATCAGTGCTGTTACCTTGAGGCGACTTCTAGAAGCCCCTCTAAAAGACGCAGGCTGTTTTCTGTCCACACAGCCTGCTTGTGTGAATCGTACATCGTAACAGTCCGTCATTGTCGATGTTGAATGAAAGGTGAGGTACCTGCTGTATGTGTGATTCAGTGTTTTCTGTTTTTTTAGCTGTAAATGTTCACACGTGCCGATAATGCTTCATCCCTTCTCTTCATGACCATGAAAAAAAAGAACTCACATTAATCCTGAAATAAAAATTATAATCACATTTGGCAAAGAAAAAAACGTGTGTTATCTTTTTCCCTTTTCAGTGAAGGGTTAAAATGCAACTTGGCCAAACATTCTGGGAGACGTAGTATTTAAGACTCCTTTTCTAACGGTTCCCTCTTGGAACTAAAGCTCTACTTGGCTCCGCAGAATGCCAATCAAGCGCTTGGTAGAAGAAAGCAAAGAAAAAGCCTTTCAGACGCACACCAGCCCCTCTTTCTCCCGCTGTCACTCTTTTTTCTCCAGTCCTATTCAAGCTACAAGGTAGCAGGGAACCATTATCACTCCCTTGTACCTCGCATTTTCACCACTCTACTTTAAGAGCATTTTATTATTCCCCCCTGCTCCCCTGCTCCCCCGCTCCTCCTGTCTCTGTTGAACAAAGACCCAGAGGGGGGTTTTCCAGCTGCCCCGTATGACAGTCAGATACAGTCGCAGACAAAAAAAAGGACCCCATCCCCCCCAAACACCCAGCCTTGCACACTTGCACCTTACTGTGCCCCAGTCGAGGGGCTTTCCATAAAAAACACACACATCCATGCACACACACACACACGATTTCAGAGACAAGGGGTTGAAGTACAGCTTCATCGAGGTTTTTTTGGAGAGTGTTTGTATGTGTAGGTGTAAGTGTGTGTGTGTGTGTGTGTGTGTGTGTGTGAGTGTGTGAGTGTGTGTGCCTGTGTCAGTGTATTCTCTGTTCGATGCTGCTGGTCTGGGTGGAGGACATTCTCATTATAATTAGGGATTATCTTGGGGGTACAGCAGCAACATGTATAGACACAGATGCAGCACTGAGGTTTCTCAGAGGAAATATTGTATGTGCACCCATTTGCGTCATGACAACCACTTCCTGCTGATCCACAACCCAAACATCTCAGTCTGCATCCTTTAACCAGCTAAACCTCAACTGACTGCCATCATTTCAGGCTCCCTCATCCCTAAGGGGGGCATTGTCCCACCCTCATGCGCAGCGTGCCGCTTTTGTGCAGGTGCCAGAGCTGGACGAACTCCTCGGGCATGGTGTGGAACCACTTGTAGGGCAGGATGTTGTCGTAGTAGTGGTGGCTGACCGGCTGCTCGTCCAGGCCAATGGAGAACGGCCAGAAGCCGTAGGCCGTCACCTCCTCGCACAGCCCCAGGGCCAGGCTGACTAGGAAGAGCCCTGTGGAGAGGCGCTTGGCGTGCACGCCTCGGGCTTTCCAGAATTTGCTCACCGTGCGCAAGAACTCTGGGTTGGCAAAGAGCATGGTGAGGTTGGAGGAGGTGTCTGCCAGGGTGTAATATGTCCGCAGGGACAGGTCGGTGCAGGGCTTCATGGAGAACGCTGGCATGTAGATGTAGCTGGAGCCGTAGACTTTCATGCTGTCCACGAAGGCTTTTCTCGACCACAGAAGGTTCTGGAATCTGAACAGAGACAGAGCGATACAGAGAAAGAGTTATTCTATATGTAGAAGTCTAATTCACGACTGGTTGACTCATGAGTTGACTTCTGCCTCTTCCCTTTCTGCCTGTCTGCAAAGGAAGCACATTTTCTGTGTTGCCACGAGTTCAGCTACAGAAACAGGGTCACTGTGACACAGGCTGTAAATGACCTTTTTACAATTTAGAGCGAGAAGCATGAAGTGAAGAAAATTGCTTCTGATTTGCATTTCATTTGGTTCTGTTCTGTCTCTTTTGCTCTTTAAATCCTTTTTATGTGTCTCTTTGTATAATCTTTCTTTTAGGTGTTGTCTTCATGCCTTTAATGAAAACCACTCTGTGGTATCCGAATGCATATTTCAATTCCCACCTACGCCGCCTTCAAAAGCCATTTGCTTTTAAGTGCTGTATGAAGTTAAATTATTGCTTCTTGAAAATCGATGAGTCACATCACTGATTCCAATATGTAACTTTTCCATCTATTTGTGCTGAGATGCTCAAACATGCTGGTGGTTAGACGCTGGTTTTAATAGAAACGGATTCACCTTTTCTCTATGATGCTGGGGTTGGCTGTTACCAGGTGTGTTCGGATTCCCACATCCTCCACATAGTCCTTTGAGAGTGGCGGAAGGTTACACCTGAAGGAACAAAACATATATGTTTGCAAAGACCAAATGCATTGTATATGTAAAACCTGCAGGAGACAGCCAAGCCCTTCCTACGCCAATAAATCACAAGAAGAAGATAAAAATCCAATACTCAAGGTTTGATGAATTCCTTGTTTGTGCAAAATTTGAGAGATTTTGAGGACAAAGCCAGAGAATCCCATTTGAAAGGACAAATCTTTTTTAAAACCAAATGTAGGAGGTTTAAAAAAGGCGACTGACCATTGTGGTTGTACATCCTGCTGTGCAGAGGAAATCAGATCACTGTTATCAGATCACTCAGGACAATTACCAGTTGTAACTCAGGCCACAGAAAGTGTCACAGCTTCTCTAATAATATGAATTACAATAGACTAAATTTACATTTCATGTTTTCCAACATAACATGTCTAAGGGAGCAAATTACAATCATTCTGGAATAATTGCTCATATAAGCCTGATGCTGTTTGTCACTTAAGAGCTCTGTGCGTTCAGCAGATGCAGGAAATGAAGAACATCTGCGACAGGATCTTTTTTGCAATGGCTAAAAATGTGGCTGTCTGCTCGCTGTTTCCTCCCTCTGGTTTTATAAGTCCTGGTTTTTTATAAGTTCACTTTTAGGTTCAGCTGTCTCAATAAACGTTCTGTGTCCTGGATAACTCCCTGATGTTTCGGTTTTCATTTAGCAATTGTGGCATTTATTCTGTTTAAACTCCCAATTTCAATAATAAAAACTATTCAAGGTTTGACTATAGACTGAATGTAAAGATGGATGACGCCTCTCCACTTCCTCCCACTATCCAGATATGACGCTAAAATATCCCAGACACAAATGGTTTCATCTTGTGTCAATACGTTTTTGTTTTTCAATTTTGAAGAGCTGTCATGTTGTCCATCTTTATACACAGTCTATACGAGGCCTTTAGCATCAACTGGTTTAATTATAATAATCATATGTGTTTTAGTTTAGTATTTTCTATGTAAACCTATTCAGCTCTTTCTTGATATTATTTCTCTGTTCAGTTTATTCTGCCTCCTCTAAACCAACACAAATACATTTTTAAATAACTCTTCTTGTTTAATTCTTCCAAAATCCCACATTTCTTAAATCCAGGATCTAGTTTTGATGAAGCAAAATATTTCGGACGCCCCACCAGATGGTTTTATTCTGCTTTATGCTTTTGTGCTCATCTTGTCTTCCTCCCTCATCTTCGTCTGTTTTCTCATTTTGCTTGCTCACGCCTCGCAACCTCTTTTCTCCCTCACCCTCGCCATGGCCCATTTTATGGTCCCATTCTCTCTCTCTCTCTTGGCTACAGTCGACACCAGCTCTCATTATCACTGATGGTGTTTGGCCGCTCTCTTGGGCACAGCTGAATCACATTTGGAGGAGCAGCGAGGCGCTCACATTCAGGCACACACTCCCCCCTCCTCATTTCTCACCGCATAATGAAGTCGGCCTGTTCAATGTGCCGCCCACATTTGCTGTGTCGGAGGATGCCGCTGTTGCCCACCACCGCGCACTTCTTCAGGGGGAACTGCAGAGGGTTGTCCTGGGAAGGAGACATCATGCAGCCTTGTTAGCATACACACAGACACAAGCATGTGAACTTAGAGGACATAATATTTTCTGAGACAGGTGCACAAGTCAGACTGTGCTCAGTAAAGCTCAGGACATCAGTTCATTTCCTTTCAAATCCTTGCATGCTCGGACAAACCAGAGAGGAGGTATGAAAGATGGAGGTCAAAAGTCGAGGTCATACTTTGCATCTGATGAAACAGATTCTGCCTAGAGAACATATTATATATTAAGTGCGGGAATTAAACTATTCTCAAAAATACCAATCAGCAGATAAATCTGATACTAGTCCAGCTAACTATTTAACACTATTTAAGCCGTTTAACTGTACCTATAATTATTTGAAATACTGTCTACTTTAATTCATCTTTAATTTAATGTTTTTGAATTACCCTAATCTAATTATTTCATCTATTACCTTTAGTTTACTATTTTCAGTAAACTATTTTAACTAATATTTTTTCTTTAACCCTGTTTACTTTGAGCTATTTGGACCATTTATCCTTTACTACTTTCAACCATTTATCCATTAACCATAACTTATCACTCCAAACATTACTTTTAGTTGACACTTTTAACTGTTCATTCATAACATACAGCTATTTCAATCATTTATCCATTACATTTAGCTGCTTAGCTACACATTCTCAGGTGGAACATGTACTCATCAGTTGTTACTCTAGGTTTCTCAAGAGCAACTGGACAAAATCATCGGCTGCAAACTGGACAACATGGAAACAGTGGTGGAGGAGGATGCTGAACAAACTGCTGTCCATCATGGACAACCCCGACCACCCCTCTCCACCACATCCTCAGGGCTCAGAGGAGCACATTCTCACATAGACTCAGACAACTCCGCTGTCACAAGGACAGATTCAGGAAGTCATTCCTGCCATCCGCCATCAGGTTTTAKAATAACTCCTTGTAACAATTGTRACAACTGACTGTTTAACTCAACTACATTAGTCTCCTCCTCTGCATTGTAAATTGAATTTATCCGCTGCTATTGATAATTTATAAAGACTGGTACTCAGTATCAGTAGATGTTATTCTCGGAGACTGTATATCGTAGCTAGTCTCTTTTGCACATCACTGTATCACTTACTACTTGCACTGTTTTATCACTTAATCTCTGTACCACTTCTACTCTTGCACTGTTTTTTTGTTCTTGATTATTGAAACATTCAACTAGTCTCCTCTGTTTTAACTATTAACTTTGCCTCAATTTAGCTCTGTCTGAACAACTCAGTCACTGTCCTACATGTATGTTCTTCTATGTAAAAAAAAAAAAAAGATATAAAAGAAAAAAAGAATTGTACTTATTGCACATGTCTGCACTGCTGGAACACAAGCGGGAGAAATGTGTGCTGGTTGTGAATCGTGGCCCTGTCATCATCTAAATGAAAGCCTTAGAACAGAATTAACTCTGTTACAGAGGACATACTTAAACCATGCTTCATGAGGCCAAGGTCAAAAATGTCCTCGCTCTCTCTTTTAGCCTTTACTGCATTTAAGTCAGTGGCACGGATTAGCAAGACGGCGGAAACAATTGTGCTCATTATTCCCCTTGGAGGGCACACATTTGAGAATACACACACACAAGCACATCCCTCTCTTTGCCTCAGGGTCTCTTTTGGACCGTGACGGGGGGGTAAGTCCGAGGACAATACCGGCTAACAGTCCATGGAGCAGGGGCGGGGAACCAGGAAGTTGGGCTGGAGTCGGAGGACATTTGTAGTACTTAGTCCAACATTGTTGTCATGATGCTTTTATGATGCTGATAGAAACTGTTTAATCTACTTAGATTTACTTATTTGGCAGAGGCTTTGATTCGAAGACATTTACAACTTAGGGAAAACACTGAAGCCACAAAAAAGTTAAGTGAAACCCTCATCCCAGCCAAGTAACTTGGGACAGAAGAAAGACGCACATGAAGGGAACACCAGTAAAAAAAAGATGACATGAATCTACAGTACACTCCAGTGAGCTATATGGACGCACTGTTTAAGCCACTGAACTAACCAACAATTAATTGTCAAAGCCCTAATTGGCACATTCCCTGGCAGATGCCCAGATACTGTAGCTGCTGCCAGGCTTAGAGTCGTTTGGCTGCTTGTCTGAGCTCAGACCTGTAATCACAGCACTGGTAGTTGAGAAGAGGAGAAGAGTATTTACGTGCATGAGTCTGAAAATTGTCCGTCCCACCTAACCACCAGTTACCTTCCTAGAACTGGCCACAATACAAGGTTCTCTGCAAGTGCAACCATGTTTCAAAAACGTGTAATGCTTGCAGGCAAGCGGTAGATGGAGAGAGTCTCAGAAGTGCAAAGCTGTGCAATGCAGCAGCATGTGACTACAACAGGTTAATGCAACGGAAACAGAGACTGACAGTTACTAGCAGCACCCCCCAACGCTCTGAGTCTCTTTACAAAAGCACAAATAAAATCAGTGCAGAACTTAGTAGTAGTAGTACCTACAACTATCTCACATGTAAAAGCCCTGTTACATTCACCCCGCTGCTCTACATTCAAACATTCCGGGGCCGAGCTCAGCCCCTCTCACTTCATATTCTCATTTCTTTATTTACTCGCTCTCTCCTCCCCCATCCATCATGAATGAACATGCACAGCCTGCGCCTGCAAATTAGGGTCAGATATTCATCGTGTTTACCAAAAATTAGACGACAGATCTGCAGCATTGGAGGTGGGGATCCACACTCGACTGTTAATGAGACGTGCTGCCCCATGGATACAAAAACCACGGCAACAGCAGCTACACCTGAGTTTCTCACTTTGTCCTGTTCCCAGTCTCAAACACATATAAACACCCTTATGCTGATGCGGACACACACAGGAGCCATGTTAAAATAGCCCCACAGCTCTTATCTGGTTACAGACATATACACAGGGGCATAAATAAACACTATGGTGCATTTCTGTATTATGCTCTGGTCTCTGTGTGGAAAGAAGAGGGGGATTAACTCAAGGGAGAAACTTGAAGCACATCCTCCTCCTCCAGTTCTAAACCCATTGTTTATATAGCCCTGTTTTAGATAATTCCATAAGTGGAAAGAAACACAACAGGATAAATCGTCTTTGTTGAACAAGTGATTTGATGAATCCATAAGGTCCAGTAGGCCGCTTGAAATGAACATCCACTAGGCCGAAGTCTTTTCATTAAGATCCATGAATCACTTTGGGAAATTTCTGAAAATGTATCTTCTATTTATCTAACAATAGAGGGCGGACTGACTCTGGCCCATCCGGACCCATTGGCATAACATTTTTTAAATGATATTCAGCTTCAGGTTGGGTTTGGCCACGTTGACTCGTCTAGATGCTTGATGTTTTAAACTGTACTCAAGTCGTGTTGCCTCTCTGAGCGTCTCCTCCTCTCACTTCTCCACGTCTTCACACTGAGGACACTGACTGCTACTAATCCTCTCAAATTTAGCAAGTGTCTATGCGCTCTGCTTCTCCTTCCCTGCCTCCATTATGGATCGACATGTTAAAACCACAGTCACAGTGTAGTGTTGCGCTGAAAAAAATCACTTCCTATCGTCTGGTTTTAGTTCCAGTGTCAGGAGCACAGCTGTCTCCCTCAAAGTCACATGTCTCGTGATGGAAGATCGTGTGGGAAGTTTGACCCACAAAGTTTGACCGAAAAATACATGTACACACCCCTTTGACCGTAAATATAAAGCCACAATCTATTTTAAAAACCATGAGAGTACTACAGCTTGTTTTCATATCTAAGTTTATCACATGATTATACTCTCTGTCCTACCTGCACAAAGAGTGGGTATGTCTCGTTATTGACTGTGTGCGAGTGGTAAAACTCCCCATCGTACCACAGGACCTTTCCCATTGGCGAGTTCTCCTTGGTGACGGCGAACATCCTCCGTGGATTGCAGCAGTCTGTCAACAACTTCCTGTGCAGACAGGATGTGGGGAAAAACAAGATTGACACAAATTTGATTCCACAAAACAGCCAGGATAGTAACTAAATTACGACTGTGTGAGGTCAGTGACTGCAAATGAGAGGAAGTGATCAGATATTTAAGGTCTTGATTGAATCACATCAGACCGGAGATGGAAGGAAACAGGAAGGAAATTTGTCTTTTTCACACAATGTCCTAAGAATCCATTGTACAAACATGCAGTTCTGAAAAACTTTGTGATATGGGAACAAAAAGTCAGAACGAGCATCTCGTCCTTGGCTGCTCTGCAACAGTCACCTTCTCTGATGATGCTAATTGGCATCGTCTCTGGAGAATTGAATTGCCTGCATGTGTTCTCTGCTGTATAAGGTTTGAATAACACTGCCACTGTAGCTGACAACTATGTGGATCATACATAATATGCATGATATACTGAATAAAGAGTGTTATTGCCATGTTTGCATTTCTTTTTATTAACAGTTAGCCTTTAGATAAATGGTATTTATCATAATTTTGTGATATTTTTATCGATTCAAACATGTTTTCAGAAGAATTACGAAATATTTTGTTTAATTTTCAGCCTCTTTCTCCCAAGAACCCAAAATAAAATAGTTTTAACTTAATTTCTTTAAATCTCACAAATGGAGAAAACTTAAATCTAGGATTGGGCAATACTGCCAGAAATAATAAAGTTTGTACAGGTCGATATAGATAAATCATGACAAAAGTCACATCATCATTATTATTATTATTTCTTTTAGGGTTAAAGACAGATTTTTGCAAAAGTTGTGGTTTATGGACAGAAAATGAAAAATGTAAATCTGAGAAAGATTATATGTTATACCTCCTCACTGTTCTTACACAATGCTTAAGCAATAAATAACAATATTGTTTTATTACCCTAGAAAAATTTTGAAAAAAAGTTGTCATCTTTGCACCTTTCTCCCTTAGTTCAATTGTGTTATTTACTGGCCCCTAAATTAGCCTGGGTCCTTCAGGAACCCACACAGGCACAGCTGGGGGCCCCTTCACGAACCTGTGCTTTGAATCAAAGGACATAAATGTGAGCCCTGAGACGAACCTGTACAGATCGATGCCCGTCTGGTTCTTCTCCCACATTCTGCCCTTCCTCAGCACCTCGTCCACTATCTCTTTATCGCTGGGGACTCTGTACACGGGGAAAATGTAGAACCAGCAGAGGACCAGCACGCACAGGGCGGCCCACACGGACAGCTTGCCCCGGTAGCATCGCACCAACATCGTTTCCTCTCTGCTCTGTCGCACGACTCAGAACCAGCGGTGCGTGCACATCCAAGCAGGTGCGGTAAAAATGAAATGAACGCAGGGGTCGGTTCAAAGCTGGTCTCCCCGTCCGCTGCAAGCCCCCCGCCTCATTCCGCGGTCAGGGTGGGGTATTAATTAGGTTGCAGAGGTATGGTCCGTTACCCGGTTGTGTGGCTCATGCATCGGTTTGGAAATCCGGGTTTCTGTCGGTGAGGGTGTGATGGAGGGAAGCGCGAATCCCTGCAGCGGCGTCTCACGCACGGTTGCGGGTTTGCGGCGCGGTGCCTCTCGCTCTGCAGGATTCCGCCGCCCTGCTCTGCGCACATCAGCATCATCCCAGCCCGCAGACAGCGAGCAATCATGCGGGCCCCGTCCCAGCTGCACCGTGGTCCGGATGTCCCACCGTGGACCCCGACACTCCGATTTCTCTCCCCGGTGCTCCGCCGTGCTGCTGCAGGGTCTGGTTGCTACTGAACCTGGGTCAGCATCCCTCCTCCTCCCCCTCCCCCTCCTCCGACCAGACAAGTGTGTTATGGAAGACCAACGGTTCAAAAACCACGTTTCTTATATTTGAAAAAAAATTATTTCACCTGTTGTCCTTGAGTCAAGATTTTGTTTTTTATCTTCTTACACAGCACAAAACATACTTTTGTGACATTTTTGTGTAGCCCTTAAAAATAAAATATTTGGAAGTTGCAGCAGAAGAAGTCCACTCATTCAATGATGGTTTGGAACACACATCATTTGCATGTGAAAAATAAATCTTAGCAATATGCCTGCATGTTTTTTTAACAAATTAACTGTGTTAAAATATCTTAGCATGTTGTGTGCATCATGTTAACATTTTGCTTTTGGGTTTTTAAACAATGAAAATAAATAAATCACGTGTGTTTGACATCCTTAGCCTTCCATACACGTGAGGCTGTGCTAGGGGCGTCCACAAAAGAAAATTCTTCTGCAGCCGCAATTCTTATAGACACGCCTACTTCAAGGGACGTAATCTTCTTAAAGGTGTATCACCCTCTGAGGGCTTCCATCCATTTCTCATCTATTTTATCTGCAACTATGACAAAAACACCAGTTTTCAACGTAACAATTCATGAAAAATTGAACAAAATAATTGGCACGTCTGCCAATGTTTAAAATAATCATTAGTCACAGTCCAAACTTTACCAAAACGAAGAAAGAGACGGACAGAGCTGCTATTATTAAAAACAAAAATACGTAATGATTTTATCAACTGGTATATTTTGTACATTACCTTTTCACGACTCATCGAAAACTATCACTGGAATACAGATAGACGTGTGTCACCAGCCCTCGTTCTCTGTAGGGTTGAGGAGGGTGAAAACGTGGCATCATGCATAATTACTGAGGCCTCTGAAGCTCTCATTCTGTGGTTTACATTTGACATTTCCACGTTCAAGAGCTGCTGATGCAAAGCAGAAGTTGCAGTAATAAACCAATGCAGCCACTGTTATAGGCCTTGTGATGGCATTCTGCCTCTTGAGTGCAAAAATGGACGGATTAACAAATGTGCCCGGTGGCCCCGTGCCCAGGGGCCAGCATCTCTTCAACCACAGCCTCTGTTTATAGAGAGGGATTTTACTAGCTCTCTTCCTGTGTATTCGTTTTTCCTTTTTCCTGGTGTCTTTGTTTTGTTATGTGGTTCTTTTATCTCCTCTACAACTAAATGTGTAAGACAAGCCACGACTGCAAAATATGAATCATATCAAAGAAAGTGGAGGAAACATTATTTTATGTTTTTATTAATTTATGTATTTATTAATTTTTAGATCTCTGTGACCTGCTGTCACTTAAACCACTCCTGGAAAGAGATTAAACAACATTTAAACATTTCTTAAATTAAAAGCTGCAAATCAATCACTGGTCTCCACTCCTGCTGCCAGAAATCCTTATGTGAGGAGCTGCCGCCCCCTGCTGGAGTGTGTCTGCACTAAATAAAGAGGCTTCTTACATCCCACTTCAATCTCAACCTTTTCTACAAATTAAAGTAGCATATTCACATTCTGCCCCAGAATACTGATTTACTTTTTATCCTGTCGTAATTCACACTATGAAAAAACATCTCTGTTGAGCTGATGTCTCAACATCAATGGTCAGATTTTACCGTTGCTGCTTTATTTCCCCAAGAAGTGTGTGGCTGGCATTTTTGATGACTTGAACTTTTCAACTTGCTGTTGCTCTACTGTGTTTTATCTGGGCCAGGAACCACACGATCTCTATACAATGAAACTACCCTAATGTGTGTGCATTAAAATCTTAAAATCAGTTGCTTTTATTGTCTACTAAAGAGGATGTAGGTCTTGGACTGAAAGAATTCCTGCAATTTCTCTCTATTTTTATTTGTTTGTGCATCAAAAACACAATTATATATAGAACAGAACATACAAGCCACTGCATCACCATGCAGCCATATATACATATATATATATATATATATATATATATATATATATATATATATATATATATATATATATATATATATATATCCATACATATATATATTTAGCAGCCAACATTCCTCAGCTAACCTCATTGTTGTATCAGTGAGGACATTATATATATGCATATTGTATGAATGTCCCCTCCTGTCCTTCTGACTGGATATACAGGCTGATAACAGTGAGGGTAGCTGAGATATGTGGGCCACTCAGGGTATCCACTGAAGCCTATTGGGAATCTTGGAGGGCAGCGTCAAGGTGAAACCGCAGAGGGTAGAGGGATGCCAGGGGAGGCCAGGGGAGGCCACTTGGCTGATGTCATGTGTCAGCTGCTCACTGCGTTTCATGTCCAAACAAAGGTGGACTGCACAAGATGCAAGAGGAGAGAGGCAGGCGGGGTTGCAGGGGAACAGAAAGATGGAGAAAAATAATTATCATAAAGTTTCCATAAATTATCTTTGTGACCGTCTTGTCCTCTTTGACTGTTTCCACCTGTTTCCAGTTTTTATGCTAAACTAAGCTGACTTTCTGCGCTTTGTCATTTTATATTCAGTGGACAGACACGAGTGTGGTATCTTTCTGCAAAGTTATCCCTGTAGATATACACAGCAGGGCAAGTATCCTCTACTTAATTAAAAGTAGAAATACTACAATGTAATCACACTCAGGGAAAGTATTTAAAATTATACCTGAGGAAAAATACAGTATTCTGTTTTGTAAGGGCCCATTGAACTTTATCTTTGACCTTTCACCTCCAGATTCTATTGAGTTCATCAGTGAGTCTAACTGCACGTCGGTACCAAAACTAACCTCAAGGCATTTTTGAAATATCTTGTTCACAACAATGAGATGGATGGACAGACAACTTGAAAGCATGATGCCTCCAGCCACTGGTGCCAATTGATTGAAGTAAATCATATCAATATTTGAATACTCGAAGAACTCTAATACAATACTTCAGAAATGTACTAAATGTAACTTTCCAAGTAGTAGACAGTACCCAGCGTATTTATTCTATAGCCTAATGGACTCATTCATTAATCAGGTCGTGACATGTACAGTAAAAGTGGTTTAAAGTGATGACACAGCCATGCGGTGACTGGATGTTGACATTGGGGGCTGAGCTGGTTGGGTCATGACCACGGGTTAACATGGATTATGCAGCGACAACTGACAAAACAAATAACGCTTCACAAAGAGCAGGTGAGGACGGATTAAAACCCTGCAAGATCACAGGCTGTCAGATCCTGCGGCTGCACACACGTCCTGTTCCTTTCCGTCCATCCCACAGGTTCAGACTGAGCTAATTAGCTATGATTAAGGACGACATGAGGGGAACCACGGATGCAACACATTGAGCTGTCACCCGCCTAATTATGAAAGCAGCAGAAAGTGCATTACAAGCAGGTTCCCCGATACAGAGGCCTTGTGGTTTTTTCATTTGAGTGTATGTGTCTGTGCGGAGACAGAAGGGCGTTGGGTTGCATCGGAAATAGCTCCCCCACCTGCTGAGGATCACCGAAAAAAAAAAAGATGACAGAACATTTGTTGTCCCTGGCGTCTTCCTCCTTCTTTTATTGCCTTTCATTGCTCATGGCTGCTTGTCGTGTGCTGCCGGATGGAGTTTGACTCTGCAGCACAAAGATAACGGGAACTTTGCTGGTGTTTGTCGAGAGAAAACTGATCCAAAGTAGCTCATTAAATCGGGGAGCAAATTCATTTCAAGTGAAAATGTCTTGGAGGCCTGTGTCTGAGGATTTATTAATGTTGTTGAATGCTGATTTCAAAGGGACAGTACAGAAACTAGGTAGAGCTGAACCTTGTGTTTCACTTTAGAACAGGGGTTTAGCTTTATTGTATTTACTTTGGACCCTCCCCCAGGCAGTGAACCGGCTCAACTCATGTCTTTATTAATAATAAAAGAGGCAAAGCAGAAAGAATTTGAGGGGGTGTAGCTTCACCATAAACAACAGGATATTGATCGAGCAACAAACTTAAAGTGGCCATTAACTGTGCGTTTAAAATGAATTCATCATTTGTCCGTTTTCTGGATAATAAAACAAAATGGGAGTTCTTCAAGATTCAAGATTCACTTTAAATGTATTTAAAATTCAATGGGTTAGAAGAAAGAGAGAAACAGGCCCCCAACTTGTCATTAATGTTCACTCTAGTTTCTGATCTCAGAGAAGCTCTTACAACTCAGTGGTCAACATAGACTCATTTGACGATGTCATTTTAGCTAATGCTCAGTTTACCAAAAAACATCTTAGCACTTTGATCAGATTCATTCCAGCATAAGCCGGTCGAGAGAAGAGAAACTTGATGCTGAGGGGTTGAGTGATTTGCAAGAAGTGTCAAAGCTCAGGCTGAGATTAGCGCTCGTGCTCTGAAATCTTGACAAAGCCACGCCAAGGAATTGTTGAGTGCAGAGACAAACTGAAAATATAGACTGGATGAAGATGTGGGCTGAGGTGGAGTCAGAGGCCAGAACAAAACCTAAAGACCAGATCACTTGGTGCTGCCACAGTTACCTGAAGTCACAACATGTCTTTCATGAAATTAAAAATATCAGAATGCAGCTCTTCACCAAGTTTCACAAGAAACTTTCAAATGGTTTTCATGTTCTGCTCCTGAAACTGAATAATCCCCGATGTACAATCACAGAGCCACACATACATTGATGTTCTGATCCAGCTCCAACATTATTGGCCAGAGAGGATCATGTAGAAAGGAGCCTGACCTATTCTTAAAATCTGATTCAGTGCTTTTGCTATGCAAGAGGGCTTTGGGTGTGTTTTATACTGTATCAGCTGTGTGACTGCTCAGAGAACAGACCATGTGTTCAGTAATGTCTTATTAGAATTGAAGTCCATTAAACTAATGACGTATCTCACAGATTTATTTGATTTGTTCTGATGCAGTTTAATTAAGTATGACTCTAATTAATTCATTGTTTTGAATTCGTATTGTTTCAATTAAACAAACTAATCTAATGAACCTACCATCTATCTATCGTACAGCAAATACATGGAAGGAAATGTAATGACCTTATCGTTTAATGTCAACATAATAATGAACATATTAAAAAGAGAATGTTGTTAACGATGTATTTTACAACTTTGAAAGAATGTTGATTACGAATGTATCAGTTACATTTTCCATCTTTTTATTTCGGTACAATATCCACTTATTATGACGCCCGGCATTATTGAACCTAAACTACATCCAAAATACAAAATACCTTTAAAAATGTGTAAAATGAGATATAATACACATAAACACCTATGAATTTGTTTGTACACTTTGTTTTCTAAGAACTAAACAAACTAAATATATTCATCAATCAGCTCTGACGATCCAATTTTGTTGATTTTGTCACCTTAGTAATAATTTCCGAGTATTTGTGCTAAGCTATGCAACAAGGCAACAAGAAAACAAATTAGCCTGTCACCTTCAAACTATCTCTGTAAGTTACACTCAATGTGACGACAGCATTGTCAGTATTAGCGACTGGGATATGAATGAATGTAATATCCCTGTCATTCCAAGGAGAAATTATTTCACCCAGCGAGCAGCAATATCTGGACCTTACCATTAAGGTTAATGCTCATTATTTATTACTACACTTCCCTGATGTTGTCCTGGTTTTTAGGGGAGGTGATATTTCATGCTTGGTCTCGTGCCAGCACATTCCTGGGATCAGACGTTATATCTGCGGTCTGCTCGTCACACAGCAGCTCACATAAAAAGCTGCCCATTGTCTACTGCAGCCGCTATTTGACTCCCCTCACGTCTGCAGACCCTCGTTCACATCCACAGGTAACATTTATTCTAATATTTTTTGTGGTATTATTATAGTATTTAAGCTAATGTACTTATTATAAACTGTAAATGTATTTAGTTTCTGACAGTGTTTTGCCAGTGCTAAAACAGACTGAATGAGTATATCCAGAGCTGTTCCTATATTTCAGAAGTTAATTAATATATCATCGACAAAGTTGTACCAGTTTTACGTGGGTCAAACTTTGGGAGTAGCCCTGAACATGCACAGTAAGTCAAAAAAGATCAGTCTCAGACATGATCTGCTAAATCTTCTACTTTTCCGCTACTGCTGTCCGGATTTTGTCAGCTGTCAGATACGGATCCTGTAGCTTTTAACAAAGCTGTTGAGCTGTCATTACTCACGCTGCCAAAAAGTGAGACGATGCTGAATATAGTGCAGGGCATTGTTCTCGTCATATTCCTGCTTTAATCCTCTCGTCAGAGGATGCTGCTATGCAGGGCCTCCATGGGTCAGATTACATTATGGTTCAGCAGGGTGACTCATTATCCTTAAACTGTACTAATACACGTTCTCCTGTCTGTTGGTAAGAATATTCCTTTTATACATATTAGATAGTACGAGCTACGTTCTCATCATTGATTGGCTGTATCATCATCATCCGCCTCATTTCAACCTGTTTGCTGTTTCAGGAGCCCGACAGACTTGCAGCGATGAATCCCAAAGGGGATAAGGTGAGTCGGTTATATTCCACAGTGTTAATCCTGCATGCACAGAGAGGGGACACGCTGTCCTTATACACATGGCAAAGAACTGGCAGTGGTTATCTTCCCGAGCCGTTATCAGCATCCCTGAGAGCTTTCCCCTTGACTTCATCCTAATAATAAAGTTTTATCTTTCACATGCTCGGCTGCAGTAAGTGGTGTCGAGTTTGACGCTCACTAGTCTTTCCATATATATTTGTCAGCACATGTACGGGACATGCCGGACATGTGCTGCTGGTCAGCTGAGCAGGAACATATTTTGGGTCCTGAAGGAATGTCTGAAGTTTTATAATGTCGTGTTTTGGTTGAAAGATGTGGATACAAATCAAACTTCTGCATTTGATATGATGTTGTTTTAAACGTGTCTACTCTCTGGCAATTTTATGTTTTCCACAAACTTTCAACAACAGTTTGATTTGATTGCCTATTGCACTGTGAATTAATATTGACAAAGATGTTTTTCCGCAGCCGAAGTCGAAGATTACAGCTTCTCGCAAGCTCTCCCTCAAGGTTGGTTGTTATGAGATAAAAGATAATTAAATTGATGTGTATAACATCCTTTTATCTGTGGTACACTGAGGACCCACTCAGACAAACCCCTGGCCACTAATCATCATGTTCCGATTACTTGAAATATTGCACTGGATGTTATTTAACACTACTATTCCATTAAATTGTTTTCATACAGTTCAATGTCAATATTGATAACATGGTCAGTTATGTTATTTCTTCTAAAACCACTTGGAATGGAAAAGTTGCACATTTCAACTGTTAATCCGTTAGCTACAGTAGTTTAGCTAACTGTGTTGACTGTCTGCTAGCTATTTCACCTTTTATCTTTTCACTATTGTTTTTAAAGACCATGAGCATGAATGCATGTCTTATCTAATAATAAAAATAAAGTTGTAATAGATAATGATACTGTTCACGTTTTACCAAATATACAGCATTTTAGCCGTATTGACATAAATTTAATATGTAGCAAGTTGGAGTCTGTTGAGTTGTTCAATCAGGCAACAGTGGTCCTCCTCGGATTTCCATGCCTTGTTTTGATTTGATTTGTTTTGTCCAATCAGATGCTTCTCCTCACAAGAGCCTGTGAGGATTTGGAGAGAGAGAGGCAGGACAGGGAGGAAGAGAAAATCCGCTATCTCGGAGAGAAGTTGCCCCCTTTGCAACTTTCCGGATTGTCCCTGGAAGAGCTAAAAGTAAGGGTCACAAACCACAAATGACCATTTCAGAAAATGTACTGAGATGTCTCATTATATTTGAATAATATGATTAAAATCAGTTCTTTTTTTTCAGAATATGTGCAAGCAGCTATATTCTCAAATTGATGTCGTGGATGAGGAGAGGTATGACTGTGAATACAAAGTGGGCAAGCACAACAAAGATGTAAGTCTCTCTGAACATCCTCCTGCACCGAGCACACATTCGTCTTATCTCGCACAGCTCAGACAATATCTTGAAATGAAAAGTTTCTTTCTTTGGCTTGAATCCAGACAGTCAGACCTGGAGAACAGATCCGTAAAACTTGAACTTTGAACATGAAAGTTGAAAGTTTGCTTAAACTTCTACCACTTTGTCTACCACCATACTTTGGGATCGGAATTTTTGCAAATGTATTTCTTTAAAAAAAAAAAAAGAAGGCTTGGCCAGTACAAGGCAGAACTTCCCAGAGGTATTAATGCATGCTGAAATTTCAGTGTAGCTTCTGGTACAATCTTTTTAGATCCATGAGCTGAAGTTGAAAGTACAGGACCTCGGAGGCAAGTTCAAAAAGCCTGCCCTGAGGAAGGTGAGGGTGTCAGCAGACGAGATGATGAGAGCTCTCCTGGGCTCCAAACACAAGGGCTCCATGGACCTCAGATCCAACCTTAAGTCTGTGAAGAAGGAGGACGTCAAACAGGACAAGGTAATCTGGTTCTTCCAAGTGCATAGGGAAAGACACCCATGTCAAAAACTCTCTTTTCTCTGGAATAAATGTTTTAATTTGGATTTCACTTCTCTCTTCAATCCCAGGTGCTTACGACTGAAGTGGGTGATTGGCGTAAGAACGTGGAGGCCATGTCGGGCATGGAGGGCCGCAAGAAGATGTTCGATACAGGTGGCGGAGCACAGTGATCAATTAAAGGCAGGGAAAAGGAATCTGTCTAGATAGAAATATGGAATAAGTATCCAAAGGGTAATTTACATTATGTAGGAATTAAGAATAATGCCAAAAGCTTGTATAACCCCCAGTTCATCAGCTGTGTCTCCATTCCCTTGATGACCATTTTCTAAACAAAGACTCAAAGTGTAGGACGAGAAAAGACCCAAAGTTTTTATTACTAGAGTTTCCTTTTTGTTTTGTTTTTCTTATGACATCGTTAGACATTTAAAGTGGATGAATAAACAGTTTCAGTCGTTGATGTTCTATMTCTGTTGACTTGACTTTATCATGTTTCATTTCGTTGGCACCCGTGTGGTTTATGTGCGGCATGTAAGAGGATGGAAAACAGCTCAGCTGATGACGGATTAAAAAAAGGAAGATGAACAGTCGAGGCAAGGGGACGACTGTTGTTATGTACTGACCCTAAATTAAACTTCAGTGTTTAAATAGAGCTTGTTGACACATTCATAAAAGGTGGAGTGAAATTGTGTATTCAGTGTATCTGAAATTGTCACTAGTTTGTTGATATAATAAAGATAAAGAATTAGAATTAGTTTGGCTCATTTCTTAGGGTGCTTCCACACCGACTTCGTTTGGGTCGGATTTTTCAGTTTACCAGGACCGGTCTTTAGTTCTATTTAAAGTGATCTGATGAAAGAAATAAAAACCACAGTAGATGTGACTTTCCGGCAGCTGGTGAAACACCTGGGCCCGAGTATTTTTAGCCACGTTGTTGTCCTCTGTATACTCCCACAGCTTGGAAAGCAAAAGCCTGAGCTGGACAGCACAAGCCACTGGCATCGCTGTCCTACACATCGCATACTTCCTCTGGGCTGTGGGTTGGTTGTGGTTGCTGCCCAGCCATTGTTATGTGAAGTATGACAATAACACCAACAATAGCCTGCGGATCCCTCAGAGTGCTCTTCAGTTGTTGGACTGTTTGCCTTTATAGGCTGGTAATGTTTCAACGGCTGGTCGCCCTCAAGATTCATGAACACACACACCCACAATTGGGGGGATAATAGCGTCTGAGGGTTGTGACATATGGACGATGAAAAATCTCGTCCTGTCAGTCCACGGTGCGCAGTGTGAAATCGACGTGCGTTCGTGTTTGTCATGCTGACGTTTGTGCTCACGCTGCAAAGCTGATACACAACCTCTTGTCTGCCCTTGCACTGAGTCTTAGTTATGAAAAGCAACCCAGGTCCTGGCACATGCTGCATCTATAAATAAGTACAGATGAGGGCGACCTTCAGTCAGAGGAAAAGTTCCAGATGTGATACTCATGTCAGCACCACATGATGGCGACTGTTGTATTTGATGCAAAAGGTCACGGCGCTGCGGTCTCCCATGAAACACGCTGGGATGACAAACACATTCAAGTGTGGCTCGATGTGCCAGAAGCACCACACTCAGTGTCAGTGATGGTTCATGGGCGGGGGACACTGGTCTCACTTGTGCTGTACTGATAGCGCCACTTGATGGCAGTCCACAATGAAACATATACTGTGGTAAATATATATTAAAAACAAGTCACTTAAAAGAAACTGCATCATAACTTGTCTTAAGTTTTGAAAATTCTCATTTCGATTTTGTGGCACATGTGCAACTTTCTGAGGCTGAAAAGTATGAAAATAAAATAAATATATTTATTTTAACTGGCAACTTTATTCTTGACTGAAAATTATGATCACAGAGTTAGAAAAGAAAAATTCACAATTTTTTGTTGTTGCTGAAATTCGATTCAGTATCTGTTTCTAAATTTAATTTCATTTTAGAAAATATTTGTATGAGGATAGTTGAGTTGGTTAAAGGTCAACATCTTTTTGGATCCATGAATTGTACATTTGGAAAAATAAGTGAGGAGGATGACACAAATACTCAGTTTAGCGACTACATATTCCTCATATCACAAAAAAACAGTTTTCTGAGAAGGCAAGAAAGATTTATTCATTTACTTCACATCCCCCTTTTGGTTCAGAGCCACAAACTGTGAAAAGCCTGTTTCTGTGACCTGCGACACAAACCAGCCACTGTAGGTGTTTACAGCTTAATGTGCTGATAAATAAGCAGCTTGAGCCAAAATCCTGTTTCTTTACTGCTTGTACCTGAAGGTAATGACACTAAAAATGAGCTTTAAAAAAGAATTAGACTGGTGGAGTCGAGGGTTTAAACACACACACACACACACACACACACACACACACACACACACACACACACACAATTCGCTCCCCTCAGTTATAAAGTGTTAATTGGATTCCAAGTGATGGATGAAGCTCTTTACACTTAAAGAAACATTCACAGGCAGCAATAAAAAATGACTGGAAACAAAATTATGTGTTTTTGAGTTCAAGTTAACTTGAACTCGACGTTGTCTAATGAAACAAAGGAGGTTATGTTTGAAAATGGCTTCTAAAATTATATGTGGAGCAGCTGAAAATGGAATATTATTGGTTTTGAGCACATGTAAATTTGATATTGTTAATGTTATGATAAAAAATATTCTCAAAAAACAGTTTTTTACGAGGAAGAACTAAAACAGAGCACACCAGAGAAAATAGAAAAAATAGATATGTCAATCATTTGTCAAAGTTTTAAGTAGAGATTTAAAAGATCATAGAGAATTAGTTCACTGGTGAGTAAAGTCCATAATGTTTGGGCTCTAATAGCCAAAGCTGAGGCCATTTATGACCTGAAGAATGAGCAATAAAATGTAATGTGAAGCTGTTAGCACACTCGGCAGGCATTCCATTACCTCCTTTTAGCTCTGGAACATCTGGAAACAAGGTCGCTGGAAGTAGAAAGACTGAAACTGCTGGATGTAAAACCAACACAACGAGCTGAAAGGTGCTAAAACGTTCAGCAGAGCAAAAAAAAGCAAAAGCTAATTAATGTGAGAATGAGATGAAGACTATTGGCAGATTTCTTTCTCCTACTTGCAACCCATGAAATATTCACACACCTCTTTGAGTTGCTGAGCGTCTGCTTCTTGAAACTTGCCCATAGATATATACACATTTCTAAACGTGGGAAAAGCCCAACAATTCCCAGTGAGGGTTTGATTCTGTCACCACTGTGTCTTCTTACCACTTTTGAAACTTAAGCTAAACAAGAGCCTCAGGAAAATCATGTCTCCTTATTTCTCATTTGGGAAAAAGCTCAACGTTAAACTTAACAACCAATGACACTTCCCTTCTAAATATATACGCCGCCGAGGTGCATCTCAATCCCACCACTGCACCATCCACAACCCCCCATCACATCTTATGCTTTAAGTTAATCTATAATAGGTGCCTGTGGCCTTGCTCCCCTCTCGCTATTGATCTCCTCTGAGCCAATAGGGAAGCAGAGGAGGATGATGGGTATTGGTTTTGGAAACAGAAGCTGACCAGGGTCAAATAGTTGCACACATTAAAGATTCCCTCTCGTTTTAATCAGGTGAAGGAATTTAAAAAGGGCTGCGAGTAAAAATAAAGGATAAATCAGATCTTACTGTCAACCTGAGAAGAATACACTTCTTTTGAAGTTGTTGGTTTGGTTTCAATTTAATTGCATTTATTAAATTTGAAACTTAGTTTAAAAAACAGCTTCTGATTTCTGGGTGAATGAAAACTCAGCGCTGGCGTTACCATTGGAATCAAAGTCGTCCAGGTGACACACGCAGAGAGAAACTTGCTCAGCTGATCCCCGGTGCCTCAGGTCTCCCTGCAGCAACCGAGTCTCAATATATTATTAATAGTGATTTTGAACTCTTGACAGCATAGAATATATTTTCGAAATGCAAACATGGAGGTACAAGTTTGCACAAACAGCTGCTAATTGGCTCCGGAGACTGTCTTATCCATTATTTGACTAATTAGAAGTATTGGGAGGAAGTATAAACTCCTCCTCCATCTTTATAGGCAGTCTATGTCTGACATCAAATACTTTGTGAAGTGTTCTTGTCCAAATCATTAAGAAGTCTTTGTCGTCTTTCAAATAACTTTTTCCCAATTTATTAGGGACACCCTCCATTGCAGCCCCTTTTACACAATTCCCATTTTACTAGAGTCAAAGCTTGAAACTCCTTCTGCTACTCATCTGCTCCTGTTTTATCTGCACCCCCCCCACTTTGTGCAGAGACACTGGGGTAAATCAATAAAAAGAATAATGGGTTTTACCCAAAGATTGTATATAAAAAGGTTTTACCTGCACTCACACACAAGCAGAGTTCTTCATGGATACAGTCAGCAGTGTTTTTTGCTTTCAGTATGGCCCCCTCAGATATGGGCAAACACATAACCTCTCTGGGTGATATAAAGATGAGCTCTACAGGACCCACTTTTCTCTTAGTAGCACTGGAAAAAGAAACTTAGATATTTTATTAAGACAGCCCCATGCTGTGTAAATACAAAATAATCATGTTTGCCACTTGGCTCACGTTGTCAATAACTTAGTGACTCGCCCGTGTGCGAAGAAATGAAGTGTAGCATCACAAAGTAATTCATCACTACCTGACATTTATTGCTTCATCGTGTCGTCTGCTCTCATCGCGTCTCTTAATGTTGTTGATGCTGCAAACTCCTTGAAAAAATGTTTTTAATCTGTTTTCCCTCTTCATCAACTTTTTACTACGTGAACTTGCTCGACTTCTCTGGCATCATTCCCGAGCAAAAGAAGAGACGGCCACAGCTTCGCTTTGATAATGCTTTCCCTTTTGCATTGTGTCTTTTTTCTCTCTTAAGCTTTTCCAAAGGGATGGTAATGACGCACAAAACATCCATAACCAATGAGTCATCTCTGGGTTTAAAATCTCTCATGTTCTGAGTCGAGTCGGGTGCACGCAACAAGTCATTTATCAATATTAATGAGCGGCGCTGAACCCCAGATGAGCCACAGAATGGAGGAGTGTTGTTTTATTACAGTCAAAAGATTGGAGGAAAGTGAGTAATCCCTCTAACTGCAGTTGTGAGAGAATGAATAAGAGCCATCACATCAAATGGAAATGTTTTAAATGTATATAATATAAGTGCTGAGAGTCACGACTATTCAAAACAAGGTTGAAAGACGACTCTACGTTTCTCTGAATGTTGCTCTGGGTTCACACCTGATTCTGCATCAAGATCCACTGGAACGGAGCTGGTCTTCTTTCAACTTAGCAACCGACCCGGGACACAACAGCACTCAGGGGGAGCGAGCCTATATGTTGATATAGCACAGTTCTGCAGGAGGGCAAAACTTCAACACTGAGAACTTTTAAACTTCTCCCGTTCAGGGGTAGAGGAATTAGAAATGGGAATTTGAACATCAGCGATCGCTCCAAAGCTGCTTTCAGAAATGCTCTGACAATCTCCTGACATTCTCCAGCAGTGCTGTATGTGCAAATATCTCTTGCCAAGGCCTGTTTTGGAGGCATTTTCAATCATGGTATCAGTTTTTAAACATCTCTACCTTTAAAGTGATGTATTTCCCTTAGGTTTTGTGTATTCTTCTTTTTAAAAAAAGGGTCATTTAAGGTTGTCTGATCTCCAGATGCAGGGAAACGTTATTATTCACGTCACACTTTGAGCCCCGTCCTTGTCATTTCAGATCAAGGATGTGTGACCCCCTCAGGCTCCGGGCTGCTCTGTGAAGTAATTGGTGTTAAAAGTGGGTTGCACCTCTTCCAGCTGAGAGTCAAAAATAAGTAAGACTGAATCCAAACTCCAAAGTCACTGCTGGCACCATTTCCATTTTCTTTTTTTTACAATCCAGCTGTTAAAACTCATTTTTGGCTCTGTCCAGGCATGTGCAGCAGCTCAGGTGCACAAGCTGTTTTTCACTTCAAGCAGCTTGTAAGGCAGCCATATGGAAGGAGGGGCCTGGTTGCACCCGCGCTGGCTCGCCACCGTGGCCATGATAACTCACCCCTGCAAGGTCATGTGATATTCATATTTCCTCCGAGCTGTGTGAGAATAAAGTTTGTTAGAACTTTTAACAATGAAAAGTAATACACAAATCTAGCAGGGTTTTTTCATCTCTGTTCTCCCAACAAACAGCATTCATCACTGCATATCATTAATCTCACTCCTGTTCGGGATGAATCTGGCCGACCGTTAGACTCTGACAATAATTAACAGTAATTTACACGAGCCGCATGTGGGAACCCCTCTGAGTTCAAAAAGACTTTCATCATGAATAAACAGGTCGGTTTTACGTTTGAATCGTCCTGTAAGTGTTCAAAGTTCTATCGAACAAACAACCAACACAAGTTAATTAGGCCTGTTACACATGCAAACAGGATTGTGTCGTCAATAGAGAGTAAAGTCCACGCACAAAAACTAATGTGCATATCTGAAACATCACAGTGCAGGAAGCAGAACAGCTGAGTAATGTTTAGAAGACCAGTTCCTGTCCGTGCTAAAGCTGCATACATACTTATTTTTTTTAATTAAAGTCTGCAACACCAAGGCACAGACTGACTCCCTGCTGCCTTTCCCTAATTTTCAAAGATTCATGCCGCTCAAACCAGAGGTGAAAGACTCCAAACTTTATGATTAGTTTGCATCCATGAAACTTGGTGAGGATCAACATAACCCTCTCTACGTCTACCTGCAAAAACAATAAACATCCGCAAGTCGTCATGATTTTCCTCCTGAGCTGCTAAGTGAGCAGCGTTATTACATTCTCCTTCGTGCCCATTCCTTTTCCCAAACCTGACCGGGTGACATAATAGACCACCCAGTTACGGGTCCACTGAACACGTCCGCACATTCACACGGAGAGCAGGGTCTTAACTAGCAAATGTCAGACCAGTGAGAATGAGTCAACAGATTGAGTCAGCTCAGTGGGATTATGGTTGTGTCTGAAATCACTCGCTATTCACTGCATGGTCCGGTGAATCCAACATTTTGCAGTGAATGTTTAACGAAACTGTTTATACACTATATAGCGGACTCATTGTATCCCAGAATACATCATGGAAAGTAGCGTACACCCGATGGTCCCTAACCAAGCAATATATACCATCATGCATTGCACTCAAGAGAAAAAAGACGAAGTGAATCCTTTTCATAAGTATCTGAATTATCTTCAGGAGTAGATAATAAAAGACAGACTGGTTTGTATTTGCTGGCATTTCCACAGCTCAATTTTAAAACTGTTATAGCAACAAACTGCGGCAAACTAGTTTATTCCTACATTTAAACACGGTCATCCAATGTGTTTTTTAACCTTAAAGTATAAGTGTAAAACAAACATTTTAAATTTACTATGGGCCGACATTGTTGTGGTTGTACGTTATAATCCTGTGACAATGACGTCATAACCGGCGAAGACGAAAATGTGCAGAGTCGTGTCTGAAATTGTTTTTTCTTTGCCGATGAGCTCATAGTCCTGGAGAGAAGCATTTCAGGTTTTATTTTTGGTGGCAAGTTAAATGGATTTAATTTAAGATTGATTCAGTGAGAGACACTGGTCATGTCTGACGTTAAGATTCTCTCATGTGACTCGTGCGTTTCCTTGCGTGTTGACGTCACGTGTCCACTACAGCCCCGCCTCCTCACTCCACTGATGCTGCTCTGCTCTTGCGTCAGCACCATTTCTGGTCTCCTCACATCGATCAAGAGAGAGAGAGAGAGAGAGAGGGGGAGAAAGAGGGAGAGAGAGATACCCAACCCCTCCAGAGCGTAGAGGCGTCAAACGGCCGCCAGAGCATCCCGGTTACGCACCGTTCCGAGGCCCCAGAAGCGCAAGAACCAGCTGAAGGAGAAGTCAGCGTAGCCGGGCACACGGTCGCAGCCACAGTCAGTGATGGAGAGCCTGCTGGATAATCCAATGAAAGCCGTTCTGTACCTGAAGGAGCTCACCACCATCGTCCAGAACCAGCAGAGCCTGATCCAGACGCAGCGCCAGCGCATCGACGAGCTCGAGCGCAAGGTGGAGGACCTGATCGGCGAGAACCGACTGCTGCGCGACCCGCACCACTACGTCCAGCAGCCGGCTCCGCATCAGCACCACCACCACCACCACCACCAACACCCGACCCACCGCAGCGCCAGTCCCCAGGCGCCGGCCCACCTCCATCATCCGCACCCGGGGAGCAACAAGGCTGCGGTGAACCAGGCGCAGCATCAGCAGCAGCAGCAGCAGCATCAGCACCAGCCACCGCCGCCGCCGCAGCAGCAGCAGCAGCAGATCCCCGGTCTGTCGGCCCAGCCTCAGCATCAGCACCATCAGCAGCAGCACCCGTCACCCGCTGCTCCGTCCTCCCACCACCCGCAGCAGCTGCAGCTCGTCCCCACCTCGCCGCAGTCGCCCAAAACGAGCCAAGCCAGCCCGGACTCCGGCGAGGAGGACAAGAGGAGCCCCTGCTGCAAGTCCCTGGTTCCGCAGACTCCCACCACTCTGTGCCGCTCAGTTGGACTGGCCAGGAAAGCGGAGTAAGTAGTGAAAAATAACATTTACAGTAAATTATAAAGACTGTTCAGATGTCTCCAAACTGATTTAGAAATCTTCTTAATCCAGTTTGAGTTTTTTGGGATTTTTGTGTCGTGGTCATTTCCCCCAAAATTACGCTTTTCATTCAGTTACTAGAACATTATTTCACCTCGATGTCAGGCTCCATAAAACAGGACTGAATATTAAATTCAATGACCTTAATAAATATGGATATCTTTGCAGTGTGTCTGATTTTCATATCTAGATATAGCAAGTGTGATATCCTCAAGGGCCCGGACACATAATGTCACTGCTCTGTCATCACCTGAGTTACAACAAAAATTTGGGAACCATCACAAAGAGAAGCTGTTAAAAGAAAAGAAAATCTGAAATATAAATTTTTATTCTGGAAATTACAGTAAAAACCACCTAAAAAAGTATCGTACTATAAAGTCTGCATGAGTTTTGACTTCATGATTAACCTCACATTCCCTCACAAGCTGAGGCTTAATTTTCTGACAGGTAATTTTCGCTCCTTCTGTATTTTCACATTATTCACTCAGTCGTTGGCCCCTTAAATCAATTGGATGCTTAATGGATATTGATTTGGAGGAGCCCGGCTGGCATTCTAATGGTGCCGCTTTATTAATTCTGCACCAAGGGATGCTGTCACGAGTGGGTGGGATTAGACACTGGAGACAAAGTGGTTTTTGGTGGACTATAGGATCAAAGTTTGGTTAAATAATAGCGCGTGCTCCAGTTGAGTTGAGGTTCTACCACACCGGATTGTTTTTTCAATGCATCTGTTTCGAGGCCGGGCTGATGCAGCGATTTCGCAGGTGCTGTGAGAGAGCGCTGTGGAGAGACAGTGTAAACACACATCTGAAGACGTGCAAGGCACCGGCTCCTCGGGGCACATCACTGACTCAGAGACAAACGTCAGCTCTCTAACATCTTCGCATTTGAAAAAACACCTACGATCAAGGTGTGATTGTGCAGACTGTGACTGCTTGGCACTCATTAAGACAGCAGCAGAAAGATGTGAGGGACGTAACCCAGGGGGGAATAATAGCAGAGACAGAAATGTGTTTTATGGTCGAGGTGCTAATAAGCCTTGATGAGCTTGAGTGTTCCTCTGTGAAGACATTTCATGAGTCAGCGTCATCTTTGTGCTGCTGTTGCAGACTCAGAACTCTGTGATCATCCTCCACGAAGTGATCGCCCTTTAGTGGAAAACTGACTTTCATGAGTTGTACCGTCGCCTTAGAGAAAAAATATGTGACGATTCCTCATTAAAATGTCTAAAAATGACAAGATGTTCATATTCTTTTAAAGTACATTCACCAAAATATTTCCAAGAATGTTTAAACCCAGAGATAACCCAGATTTAGTCAAGGTAACAAGACGATTGATTTTTGCGACATATCCGCTTTATTTATTTCAAATTTAGCGAGCTAGCTGTTTTTTCCTTCCTCTGATTGTCTGTTTGGTTGTAATGTCATTTTGAAATTGTCGTTTAAAACTTCAATGCATTACATCATCCATGGACATGATTTGCTCAACAACTCCCATGATCCCACGCTGAATTAGCTGCAATGTCAGCCATGATGTAGCCAAGGATAACTCTTTCTTCATTTTTATAAATAACCCATAAATAATCCTGTAAGAACATGTTAAAAAACAGCCTAGCTTCCAAATATAAAAAAAGACTTTAGACATTTCCTCCTTGGTGATTATGAATATGTTTTTGCATCCTCTCCAGTATCAAGAATAGAGCAGCTATAATCAGTTGTACTTCTGTAATGTCAAGAAAACAGTAGATTCAATGTGGTTTCATAAATTACATCTCAATTAACACAATTAACATCTTCCTTTCAATCAGAAGTAATTCATGTGTGTTTTTAGTTAATTTTTGTGTCAGTGTTATGATGTTGAATCTGTAGATTTCATGTGGCTCTGATACTGAACAAAACACGTTTAACTGTCAAAGTGAAAAGAAATCTCTACACAAAGGTCTAAAATAATTAAAAACATTTGCATAAGTATTCACCGCCTCCACACTGCAGTTTTTTCCCCCCTCACGCTTCTTTGCAAACCTGCAGCTACAGTCACAAATTATCTACTTAACCGAGATCGTGACATTAACTGTTGTTTGTGAAGCCATTCCTCTGACACTGTGTTTTGGTGCCATTGTCTTTCTGGTTGCAGATGTTGCAGATTTCTTGCAGACTGCGGTTTCCTCCAGATTCTCCTTGCATGTTTGCTGCAATCGATTACTCTCCCTATCCGTCCATGTGCTGCTGCAGCAGAGAAGCAGTTTTTTTTTCCTGTGTAACATCGTTAAACCCCCTTCGATTTAATGATGAGACAGAATAAAACGCTGGAAACTTATATGCACTGTCCACAGTGTTGAATGCTCTGTGCTCGCCACCATCAAGGTCACATGTATTTCCTCTGTTGGAGCCACATGCACATGCTCACAAACAACGCACACAACGTACATCCCATCTGTTCCACTCGGCTGCGTCTGCAGTGTTTCTGTTAATCCTCGTTGATTTATCGTGCCATCAACTATTAATTCCTGAAGGAGTAGAGTGCATCAGCATGGACACTAAAGGGGCCGTCACATAGATTCACCCAGGCACGGAGAAAACACAACACAAAGATATGAGCTGCGCAAAATAAATGCGTGAGTTTGTGGGTTCTGTTTAAACAAGTGGATGCCCTCCTGGCAGTTCTGCAGAATGATGAGCAATGAAAAGAGTAGAGCAGGAGAGAGAGAGAGTGAGAGAGAGAGCATACTGTATACTGGCCTGTCTTTAATTTAGAAGCAGTGATACATGAAAGGCACGAGATGTGACGCAGCATTGTTATTTCCACTCAGAGCGTTGATCCTGGTCAGACAAGATGGTGCGTTGTGAGATGTCAGTGCAGTGGGAGAAGTGATTCTGATGATGAGACGACGACAGGAACAAACTTAACAATGGGTGTCTGTCTATTTATCCACTTTATTTCTTTATAGAGGGAATTATGAGCACAAGCAGTCTTTGAGATTCAGGGGGAATGTAAGAGGCCAACCTGTCACACCTCGAGGGAAACGTTTGACATTTCGGGAAATACACAAAGCTGTAAACTTCTTGTGGACAAAACATGGAAGATAAGGACAGGTTGAACCAAATAAATATGAATGCAGCAAAGTTTAACCTCCGAGTGGAGTAAAGAAACAAGGGAATCACGTAACATAATCCCTGGGATGCACTAGATTTCAAACGTAACCACCACTTTCTAAACTCATCTACGTGTTTTTACTTGATTAAAAACAGGAGCAGAAAATCCACTGCAAAGCTCCGAATGAAAAATTAAATGCTCGCTGACTCGTATCATGCGTCCCTCATCTCCTCCAGTGGCATCATTTGAGCAGCACAAATCAAGGAGCTGCCTTCAGCTCCGCACAGTCAAGGAATGAAAAGTTGTTTCTGCCACGATCCCCGACTTCTCAGACGGAGAGTGTGAAGCGACTGTGTGAGTGAGTCTGAGGAGGATTCTTCAGGGGCCTGTGTGATCTGAGGGGAGCCCTCAGCGATCCTCGCTACCCCTCTTTCTTCCTCCTCCGCTTCTTTCTCTGTGACTCCCACTCCTCCAGCTTCCATTGTACCTACTCTCATTCTCTCCAGATCTTTGCTTCTTTGTTCACAGGCTACAAATGATATCTTTGTCCACCTGCCTCATTACTCCATGACCGTCCTTCCTCTCTTTTCCCCCTCTCCTCTGCATCCCCCTCTCTTCTCCTCTAATCAGCAGCTTATGCTTACAGTAGCCACCTCTGCAGACTGGATCAGTATTCAGCCCCATCCTCTCACCATCACGCTCTCCACCACTTAACACAACTCTCGGCTGGGCTGCAGCCTTCAGTCTGCCGTGTCCTTTGCTATATACGCTCGGGGGGCTGCCCGTGTGTGTGTGTGAGTGTGTCAAAATGAGAGTGTGAGAAGGTCGGGCCTTGTTTTCACGAGGGAGATGCGATGGTGTATAGGTGAGGTTATGTGCTTGTGTGTGCGGAGGTGCGTGATCGTCTGATAGGCAGCATTCCCATAGCCTGAGGTGGAAATCCCAGGGTTCACATACAGCTCCAGGTGCTTCTCCGCTGCTTCCCTCCCTCCCCCATACACTCTCACAGTTATTGTAAATCCTCGCTCTCACACTCAAAACACCAACTAAAGACCCTAACATGCCACATGCCACCTGGCAGCCCTCCTGTTTTCCTACATTGGCTGTGACTCACTGCCGTGCCTGCCATGCCCTCGTTTTCCTCCCACTGGCCCTGAAACCAACCGGAGACCAGGATACATCTTGTATGTGCCTGCACCCCGTCTCCTTCAGGATTAAAGTGGGACGAGCACACAGCACTAAGAGATGGGGGAGCTCAGCACACACGTACACACACACACACACTGAGGCATACATTACAGAGTGGCCCCGCTGAGCGCCTGCTGGATGCTGCAGTGTCTCCTTGTTCTGATGCTCTTAGATCAATGGGCCTGGAGGTTTGCCAGCGCAGGCTGCACATGCTATGCTGGCCCTTAAGAGTCATGCTAGCTTCCATCTCCAGGTTACACATTCCTATTCTATACCCAGGTTTTCTTCTATCTCACGTTTTCTTGAAATAATATGATTCAGATATGTGACCAACACAAGGTAAAAAAACCTCACTAACCTGTGTTAGCTGTGAGCTAAGAAACTCTTAAAGAATTTGATTTGCTGCACTGTCCTGACTAGTAATGTCTTGATTTCAAGTATTTATTCTTGTTCGCTGTCCTTCAAATATTTCAATGTCCTTACAGCATAAGGGCAAGGTCACACATACAGAAAAAACTGCAGCTTAGTTTGAACAAAGTTTTTATGCATTCGAACATGTTTAACGTGTGTCGGCCGGCACGAGTTTCAGAGGCACATAAGAGGTTACACTATAAAAAGAGTCATGGCATGAAAAACAATAGAAACG